AATGTGGCTATCAATCCCACTATTCGTTAGTAAAAGAGTATCCCAAGAGTTGGCGGTGGGTGGTAATGACTAGCTGCCTTCTCTCTAGTCTTACACTGCTAAATTAGGGACGGCTAGCGCAGATAGCCCTCGTGTAGCTTTGCGCGAAATATAAACCAAATCATCTTGGTGTTACTAACAAAATTGTTGAAAAATAAATTTTGTATTTCATTTTGATATTCGACTTAAGAACGTTGTAGAACGATTTCAATAAGTTATTTCGTGCTAATTTCAATAATAAATATTTTACGTTTCAGAATAAACTATTTTGATTGGCTAAAAACGTTACTTAATTATTTTTTCTAACCGCACCATTTTTGTTTCAGAGTTTTAGTATGCAAGGTACGAATGTACTATAAACCTTATCAAACTAAAATCATATAATATAAGGAGGAATTATTAAAGCCTAAGTAAGTAAATCCATTAATATACAATTATTAATTTATCGAAATATTTATATTTGAATTAATAATCTGTGTTAACTGATACGTCTTCTGATCTCTACCAGGTGGCAGATACAGCGTTCTTGCTAATGGAGAACTTCATATTCGGGATACTATGATGAACGATGGATTTCACTTTTACAGATGTCACACAAGACATGCACTGAGTGGCGAAGGCCGATTCAGCATGACTCGAGGGCGACTAATCGTAATAGGTATTATTATTTTTTTTTATCAAAGCGTAGAAAACTATATAAGATCAAACGATAGTTTGGAACGTTGTATTTGTGGGGAATTATCTGATTGAGACTAATCCGACATTGAAAGGGTGATTACGAAAGTAAGCCTAAATCTTTTAAATCGCTGTGTAGGGCGAGACTTAATCTTGTTTGGTACATTGTGAAAGACCATGTTCCTTTGGAAAAGCTTATCCATCAGATTGTCGAAATGAGATTCGTTTGCTTGTATAAAATAATTTTCTATCACTACTCCTGGAATATCTAGAGAGAATATTGTACAGGAATTAAGTTTGGAGACGGCTTGACTGGATAATAAAAAAACTTTAATATAAATGCACGACGTTTCGACAAGATTATGTCATCCTCTTTGTACCTGAGGACGAGATAATCTTGTCGAAACGTCGTACATTTATAATAAATTTTTTTATTATCCAGTAAAGCCGTCTCCAAACTTTTATTTACTAAAAAATGGGTTCCTCGCCATCAAACTTCTACTATAGAAATGTTCAATTAAGCCCTCCGTGAAAGATGAAATAAATGATTAAAACGCTACGTTTTGTATTTACACAATTAAAAGTTTAATAAAGCCGTCAAGATACGCGGATCATCATACCAATGTATAAGAAGTGAGCACGTGAGGCTATCACAGAAGAATTTATTTTTAGCGGAAAACAGCAAAATGGGCTTGTTTGTGCTGTGCCCGTTAAAGGTGTCAAACCCCATATTCAAGGGCACCGCGCGTTATTGAAATAAGATAACACTTCATCTATTTCCCCAATGTTATCTGTATTTTATGAAACAACAATAACAAAAAAAAAAA